TCTAGAGAAGCCGCTCGTTGCAATCTCTCCGTTTGAACTCGTGGCCATCCTGGTTTCTCAACTTCCCAATTCGCGGCTTGCGCACGCGGCCGCCGGTGCCAGGTACTTCATCGGAAGATTGGGCCCTGAGCGGCAGAAGTGCTGGGATCATTTCCAGACCTTGAAGTACTTCCAGAAGCATGAGCTCAAAAAGATACCCAAAGGCGCTTCATGGCATGGTATCATATGGTATTGTTTTATATTCTATCGCGTGATATTGTGTTGTATCGTATTGCACGACTTTTCAGTCGAGTTGCTTTTTTTTTACATGACATGCATGTGTCGAAGAACGTGACATGTAATGCATTGCATTTATGGAGTCCCACACATCACAGTTCAATGAACTGCAACACAATGTAATGCGTCGTCATGTGATGTGCTGCAACACATGTTATGCAATTTTTGTAATGCATGCAATGTAGTGCGGTGTAGCGGAGAGGAGTGTAATGCAGTGTTGTGCAGTGTCCGGCGATGTAGCGTAGTAGCGTGTGTATCGCGATGTGATGAAATCCAACGTAATGAGCTATCAGATGCAATGCAATGTGAAACAATGGAGTGTAGTCTTGTGTCGCCTAGCGTATTGCAGTGCAGTTAATTGTAGTGCAATAGAGCTTATCAGCATTCTGGGCTGGGCATGGTAGGTCGTACATTGCACAACATAGCACACCTTCTGGTGAGACAGTTGTCAGGCATGCATGTGATTGCAGTGCCAGTATGATTGACAATGCGACGTGGAGGTTCTCAGCTATGATGTCACAGAAGCCTCTGTCTTCTGGTGGTGAACTACCACCATGGCTCAATATTTTTGTAATTTATGCTGAGTTGCACAGCATTTAGAGATCAGATGTCTCATGGAGAAGCCAACTGATGATGCCACTTGAGGACAGCGCTATCTAAAATATGTTGTAATTTTTGTTACCAATGGTTCGCTGCTCTGTTCAAGGAGAGCCTGAAGTGTGAATCCATGGTCTACCAACTAGCTCCATTTGCCTTTCCCAGGCGGCGACAAGGGCTACCCGCCGGTGTACACTCGGGATGACTGGAAGAAGCTGGGGCGCCTCAAGAATGCGGTCTTCCTGAAGCTTGGGCCATGCCATTGCTTCGTTTTCTGCAGAGAGGGCAGCAGTGGTGTTTTTCGTTCAAATACAAGGTTTTCCAGGATTAGAACGTGTGGGCAAAGGGTTCAGAACGTAGCTCGCCCTGCGACTTTAGAAAGCAAGCTGAAAGCACGGCGCCCGTCCGCATCCTGTGCCACCTTCCACTTTTCGATCCAGCTGTGTCGGGCTTGCCCTGCAGTAGTCCGGTCTGGAGAATTTAAGTGGCTTCGCCTTCAAGTGCTTTGAGCTGGGAAAGAGTGCCAGTTGGTTCGAGGACAAAGACGATGAAGAGATTGATGCCGGATTCGGCTTGGTTCTCCAGCAAGATCCTCGTTCTTCGTCCGCGTGCAACAGCTGCGTTACGTAGCTGAGGAATGCAGACTCTCCCATCAAGGAAAGAAGAAGAGGAAACAAACACACAGAACAAACAAACGTCATTATACCCATCTGCCGCATGGTTTCAAGAAGCAATTTGTTACCCTATGCTTCCAAAAACCCAACCAAGGGAGGCGGTTCCCACAAAAAGGGGGCAACAAATCTTCAAACCAAACAACCCCCCCATGAAAAACAACAACAACAACACATAAGAAAACAATACAGCGGTTCCCAAGCGACGAGGCCGAAACCAGCTGTGCCACCCGCAACAAACAAATCCAACCACCGTATGATCCCCGAAGAAAACAACGCATTTGGACGTCCACCCCCTCCCCAGCGAACCCACCGCCGTCGCCCAATTTTCGAGCCCGAGGAACTTCCACCAGGCGTGCAACCGGAGCCAACCGCTGGAGACCAAACCCCTGGAGACGGTGCGCCTGGCGCAGCTGCTGAGCCTCGGCTTCCTGGTGGTCTCCGAGGAGGTTCGCGCTGGGACTGGAGCCGTGTGGGGAGGTTTCCGTGTCCGGGGAAAAGGGAGGTGTTTGGGGAGTGCCTGTTTTTTGGTCCACTGATTTTCTCCTCTTGGCGAAAATGGCCCAGTTTTGATGTGCGGGTGAAGAGAAGAAGCTTCTTTTTTTGGAGGTGAGAGATGCCCTTTGAGAGTGTTTACAAAAGTGAGTGTGGGTTGCGCGTGTTTTTCTTTGCTTCTTGTTGTTTGAGGGGAAAGGTTCTCTTTGAGACCTTGGTTGCAAAAAGAGAGAAGAGCATTGGTTCTCCCAAACCGGGGCTCTGACATTTTCACGAGTTGTGGACACCATCAAGAGGCCCAAGAAGCCCAAGGAAACCCGTTACCACTGGTTTCGGTGCCAAGAAAGCAGCCCAGAGCCCAAACATTCGCCACACCTTCCGGTGAATATCGCATCTACCCATCTAAAATCCGATGCCTTTGGAATCAATGTTGAACCCTGCTTCACTCAAACCAAGAAGAAAACCACAATTCGCCACTTTTTGCAACCCAAGGGTCATGAAGTAGTCATGAGGGATGGGAACCCCACTCTGGTATTGCAGACAGGGCAATTTCCACAACCGCGCTCCGGGGCCATACGTATCTGTTGGAGATATTTTTTCTGACTCAGCTGCTGACCGCCAGGTGAATCTGTTGGATGCTGAGCTGTACAAGGAGATGAGGGGGGCCTGGGTTCCAGGTCAAGTGCACACGATCGCGATTCTGACACCATGGCACAAGTGGGACCTAGTAAAACACTGGCTTGGAACGAGCGGTCCAGAGGAAAGTCCAGTCTTCCCATGCAAGAAGTTTCAATATATCTAGAGTGGCCAGCTTACTTGTCTCCTTTGCTGGTCTTGAGCGAAGGAATGTAAGTTTTGTAGCGGTCCTTTCCACAATGCCTTATGATGTCCAGCGATGAGTTGTTGACATTGTCTGGATTTATGTATCAGCCTGGATGGAGATCTAGATGGATGCTAGCATGTGTGTTCTGAATGTTCCACGCGTTTGGCTCGCTTCAGAAATAAGCGGAAGGGCCCCCAGACAAAAATTCAGCAATGCGACCAGTGCAGCTTGAGGCCTTGAATCACAGGCAGAAACGCCGAGGCTCGGTCAGGCCCGTGTTCTTGGTGGGCCCGTGCTGTTTTTGAGGGTTGGCTGTGGGTCAAAACCGTTTTGGGATCCCATTTTGGGGGTGAATTCACCGCCCAGTTTAGTCTATTGTAGTTGGGATTGGGATGTTCACTGGTACAGGATTTTGACCCATGGCCGGTTAAAGGATACCATCATCATTGAGAAGCACATCTTCGACGATCAGCGATGGAGCCCCTTCTTGCAAAGCCTCCTGAAGAACAGGAGTGCGCTGGTGGATTTCCAGTGGCTGGGGTACAACGGAAGGGGGGCTGCTGTTGGCTCATGGAGTTTGGTATCCGAATCAGGATACTTTGTACCGGATCAAAAAAAGGTTGGCAATGGTTGCCGCAGTCTTCTTTCAATATCCTGAGGCAGGGTAGTTCGCCAACGGGCAGGGAGCTGTTGGTGCTTCCATCGTGGTTGCAAGAGGTTCTTAAACTCATGTGGGACAGGTCAGACAAGCCGGAGGTGTCTGAGGTGTGTGACATGCCAGAAAGCCCTTGATCTCGTCCTAGGCTCGCTTCGGGTTCGTTCCAAGGTGAACCCGGCCTTGAACCCTTGTTAGCGATGACAACATCCTTTGGCCAGACCCTTTTGGGGTCTGAAAATGAGGGAATCGACCCTCCAAATGGAGGAGGTGAGGTTTCCTTGAGTTTTCCTCGAAACCAAGAGGGCTTCCCCCAAAGAAGTGAGGGGAATGGCTTCGGCTTTGGATTGAAACCAAGAGGGCTTCCCAAAAAGCAAACGCCTTAGGTGGCAGTCCTACCAGCTCTTCAAGCAGCGCTTTGCGCCTGCGGCGCTGCTGCGGAGCGCCGCCGTGTGGGACGGGGGCGCCGCAGCGAGCGCCGGCTGCGAGACATAGACCTCGGAATGCGGACTCCGAGCGGCGAGCGCTGGCGTGGCGGTGAGGCGGCGAGGCGGCGAGGCGGCGAGAGGGGAGTTGATTGCACCAAGATGGTGGGGGTGGATCAATATTCCATGTAGGGGCCCCCAAGTGACCATGGGTCACTTTGCCCGGTTAGTGGGAGCGAGGTCTTTTGTGTGGTTTTCTTCAACGTCAAGGACCTTTGGATCAACCTCCATGTATGCATAAATGTTTGCATTTTTTCCACATGCTGCGAGCTTTGCCAAGACAAGACGTACGAGGGTGGGCAAATCGGGCGTTGAATGCGCAGACGGGGTCGCTGATGAACTGATTTTTCCAAGACTCCCATGGACGATGAAACATAACACAAAGCAGATATCTTCCAAAAAGGGGTCAACGTCTTCACATCGCTTCCTTGAGAGATGCTGGCCTCTCACGGCTCGGTAAACAACCACAAATTTGACTTTTAGCAGGCAGACGAATGGACTCAGCTGTTTCATGTTATTTGGGCAGGCCAGGGTCGGGACCTGCAATTCCTGTAAACACCTTTTGGTCACTGGCATCTTTGGTATTGGTAAAAGAAATGCAAGAAAGAAACATGCACCTGCCAGCCAGCTCCTGTGCCAATCTGACCGTTGAAAGTCCCGGGCCTCAACACAGACCTTCGAAGAACATCCACGGCCTCTGGTTGCATGTGCCAATACATCGGTTTTTCTGAAAACAGCCTCTCACGCAACACAATTCTGAGTCCCCTGCTTTTGCCCCCTGCACCATGCCAGCCAGGCCAATGAACCGCCATCGGATCGAGGACGGCCACCTCTCGCGCTGGAGATCCATTTGCCGACGCCGTCGGGAAGGGCCTCGCGGATCGCGGACTCGAATTTCGCCAGAGATCCATGGCGCGGCAAAATGCGCCGCTGTGCATTGCTTTTCCGGTCCGAAACATGGGTCATGTGGATTTTCAAGGCTTCGCCCCAAATATCAG